TCCTGCTGACTGGATGGGAGAGGGAGATGAAATGAAGAGCACATGTAGACAGCACATTTGAGCTTTTTGGAAAAAAGGAAACCACACTTACCGCAATAAGTGTGTCCACAGCAGGGGCACAATCCCCAAGAATGAGAATGTGCAGAGCTGGACAATTTTTGAAGGAACAACTTTACAAAATACAAAGAAACTCATGACCTTTTTCACATGCATATGGCTTGCTCACATTTCTCCCAGAATTCAGGAATTGAAAAAGAAAAAATGTTGTTTGTATAACACTGGAAAACTACATTTTCATGCAGACTAGGTCTAGAATAATTTTTTTGCAAGAGTGTTAACAAACTTGGACATGGAATACTTAATAGTCTCAAATAAAGCAGCCATTCATTGTTCAAAACAAGTTTAAAAAGTTGCTTCTTTACTTACCTAAATTTTTGATCAAAGCTGACCATTAGACCAATGAAATATGAATTCATTCTGTTTTTAGTGTAAATCTAAAACATGAAGAGATAAAACAATGTATCTTTTATACTGAGTAGAAAACTAGAAAGGCCCATCCACCTTTGTGGTGCTGTTTTCCCTTTCTTTGGATCCCAGAGGACATAGAGCATGGCTCCACCTTCCATGCTGTGGATAGGAAGTAAAGCCAGGGAGAGTGAAGGTAGGAGGAATGTGTAGGGCAGGACAAGAGTAAACATTATCTCCTTGCTCCCCAGCCCTGCAAAGCTCAGACAGAAAGGATAATACAGCCTGGGGCAGTTTCTCCCATCTCTACCTCCTCAGCCTTCACATACTATCTCTCTACCCACCAAAAGTAAATAAAATCCTATAATAAGATTGTGGGCCTGTGTTTTTTTCTCTGCATCACTGCCTTTATTTTGTCAACGGCTTTACTGCATCTCATGCCTGAAGCACTCACATCAACATCAAATGGGGTTGCATTATGTCGTTAGGGCCCAACCATACATTCCCGATTCAGTCCAAAGCCCATTATACTTGGGACTTTTGAACCTAACCAGCAAAACAGCAACAGACTTTGGAAGTTATTATTTTGCACTGTAATTCGTTAGTTAAGAAGCCAATTTTATGTCCCAGTTATATATTTAAATGTAATGCATTAACCAGGCTGGTCAATTGTACAATTAACTCCTGATGAGATGTGGTGCAGGTCTGAAGGGATCCATTCAATTCTCCCCAAAGTTTCAGAAGCTGAGCATGAGGCATCTATTATGGCTATGTTGAATGCATTTTTTAATCAATATGTCTGGTTCTTACATATCTCCAAAGAAATTTGCGTTCACTTTCACTGTCAATGACAACAAGATTTGCAAACTTCTTCTTGCAAATATCCCAAGCTTTCTCCATATGGACATTTTCCGTGCTGAAGTAGTACTGCTGGTCTTCATAGATAACCCATCCATCATCAGTGACCTTATAATCTGAAGATAAAGTAGTTATATATGCCGTATTTGTATCTGTACTGCACAAGTTCTTATTATTAAGTTATATTATTTTTGTGGCTTGAGGGGGAAAAAAAACCTACCAAATGTGGTACTTGGTTCAGGTTTTGATGGTGTACCTGTAAAAGAAAATGTCAGCATGAACTATGTCTCATGAATGTTCGCACAAATACATTTATTTTGTGCAGTAGCTAATGACAATGACTTATGCACTGTACAGGTTTTTCACATGAATTTCACAAAACGAATTTAAAATATATTTAACATTTAGAATATCACAGAATACTTAAATTTGAATAAAACACACATGTCCTTAGAAAGCACTAGGTTGCAATAATTACACACTGTGTACACAACTTTTAAATATGCTTCAAATATATTTTGAAATCCAAAAATATACTATGTAGACAGAATTAAATTTTTTCATTAATATTCTTTGATATAATAGGGGTCAGAGCAGGCCATTGCAGGCCTTGGTCACTAGTAATGCCACCAAGTACATCAGTGCAACAGCAATAGCCTAAAGATCTTAAAGGATTCAAAGCTTGACAGTGACTTTTCACAAATATTTGTTTCACAAATATTACAAGTAATTTTCTGTGTCCTCACTGACTCATGCTTTCTTGATGGTTCTGTTTGTGTTTGAAAAGTGGGTTTTTGAGAGAAGCTTTGGAGATATGTACACAGAAGTCAAACCAAGCAGAGAGGACAAAGTGTAAGAAACTATGAAGGTGAGTGACTGAGAAAGCAAAAGAGTCAGACAAGGTGGGAACACTGGTGGAGTTGATGCAAGGCCTGACACAGGAGGATAGATGGCAAGCAGTGCTTAATTTGTAATGAAAGAATTGCCAGGGCTTAAGCAAATTTTTTATGTTCATAATTGATGCAGCAAGCTAGCGGTGCTAGGGCAATGAGCTGCCAAGTTTAAAGGTGCCAGGGCTCAGTCCAGGCAAGTCCCTGGAAAAAATTAAGCACTGGCCACAAGGGACACAAGGGCTAGATTTACATAGAGCCCCAAAGCCTTGTCCTAGCATAAATTCTCACACTTTGAACAATTCTAACTACCTACTTTCTAAATAGGGAATGAGGAGGAAACCAGCCTGCCCCTTGCCTCAAGTCTGGCACCAGCCTGCCATTTGCCTCAAGTCTGGCATTCTAGAAAACTTCTTCCTGTTTGTGGAAGAAACTTTGTGTGTGGGAAGGACGGGGGTGGTTATGGTTGTGGTTGTGCAAAGGCCATTGTTTCTCTGATTTTGATTGAGACACAGATTTTATGAAAGAGTATGAATGAGGAACAGAAAGTCTTTAGGTTACTGCTTCAGTTTAGGTTTTAACAGTCAAATAACCTTAAGTTTGCTCTGTAGTGATGGCATATAATAAAAACTGGATTATTTAGCGTATATGGTCCCTAATAAAGATAAAAGTGATTTATAAAGATTTTAGGTTTTTTTCAAATTCCCCCCCACATTGTGACATTTCAGGGCAGAGTTAAGGTTGTGTCGGTGTCTTAACTGCATTTTCCAACCTGATCATATTCAGATTTCTTTATAGTGTAACCAGAATTCTGAATTTCCTAGATTTGTAGTGAATGGTTTGAAGACAATGGCAATACCCCTGAAATCTAGTTTCTAGATTACTCTGAAGCTCTCCCATCTTTAGCTCCATCTTTGCCTACAGGTTTTTTGTTTTGTTTTTTGTTTTGCTCTTAGTTTTAAAAATTACTCAGAATCTCATATATGAACAGAAACTGAGGAACCTGGAGAAGATATTTGCATGTGATATTTCTATTGGGTTGAAGACATGTAATAACAATCTGAAATATTTTTCCTTTGTTTTTTTCACTTTTAAAGGTGATTTGCTAGGCTAGGGCAAAGCAACCAGAGTCGCTGATTAATATAGGTGCATTTCTATGTGCTTCACATAGCAAAACCACTAAAGCATACTAGTGGATCTGGCTCTCAATACACAAGTGACATTGGCTTAGCGTGCTGTGTTACGGAGAAAAGCACTGTGCTGAGTCCCAGGGTCCCAGCTTTTCTGATGTTCGTGGGCTCCTCCTACATGCATATTTCAGTTCCCCTGGCTGTGATGCAATACAATAATAATGGTGATTTTATAAAATATAATATCAATACACTAGTCTACAAACTTTTACAATCCCTTTCTTAAGGAACTGTATGATAAGACATTGCATAAGCAATATTGCATCTTACAAAAGTCAGTCCCTTGGTCACATCAAGGTGAAATAAAAGCAAAAACAAAAATCTAGGAACCAATAAAAGAACTGCAATCTTCTCTCTGCAGCGATCTGAGCAGGATAGAATAAAAATACTCTCTCATAATGTTTACTTCCTTTCATTCTATTTCTAAAAGTTTGTCCAAGATGAAGATGAACTGATTAGAGCTTCCGCAAACTGTTTCACAAATCCTTCTGACTATTCTTCTTGAGAAGTGACACACATATGCCACCCAAAACATAGTGTTCAGAATGCTAAAAAGGAACTGCACAGGATGTGCTTGCTCAGTGCACCGAAGCCAATATTCTGATGCTGTCCTTGTCATTCACCAAATGGTTTTTAAAATGCAAGTACAAAACACCTCTTGATATTCCAGAATTGCTTGTGTCAGTTTCAGTTGCTGTTGCATTCTTTACCTCAACCTCTGTTTCTTGTGTGCTCTGGGCTTTCCTTTCATTTTAGGGATGTGGATAGTAGCTGCTATCAAACTTGCCTCAGAGATATCTCTGTACCACAGATGACATTGTCCCCTCTCTTCTTTTAGACAGGTTCTGGTGCCTGTGCCCTCTGGTTATAGATTCAAATACTCACCTGGGAGAAGGGGCAGAAATTCTACCCACAACCAAGAAGGAAAAAAAGGAAAATTAGACAGAGACTCTAAGGGTATGTCTACATTACAAAGTTAATTCGAACTAACAGCTGTTAGTTCGAATTAACTTTGTAATGTAGACATACCCTTAGAGTCTCTGTCTAATTTTCCTTTTTTTCCTTCTTGGTTGTGGGTAGAATTTCTGCCCCTTCTCCCAGGTGAGTATTTGAATCTATAACCAGAGGGCACAGGCACCAGAACCTGTCTAAAAGAAGAGAGGGGACAATGTCATCTGTGGTACAGAGATATCTCTGAGGCAAGTTTGATAGCAGCTACTATCCACATCCCTAAAATGAAAGGAAAGCCCAGAGCACACAAGAAACAGAGGTTGAGGTAAAGAATGCAACAGCAACTGAAAAATAGGCA